TTTTTTTTGTTCCCCAAACACTCTTTTGTGTCCTGGATAGCTCTCCCGTTGACCCGCTTTCCAAATCTAATCTCGAGGGTTTAATCAATAACGGAGATGTATTAAAGCCTTTTTTCTTTTATGGGCCTTTCATTCAGCCTCTGTCACAAACACACACACATGCACACACACACACACACATGCACGCGTCACTGACATCGTCATTAGATAAACATGATGACTGTGTAGATGTAATTACTGTTGAATTAGCCATAATTAGCACCAGCTAAATCCAAGAAGGATTATAGGCACGCACTGCTGTACAAGAATGGTACAGCTTGTACTAGTTTTGATGTAAATGTAGAGCACAGCATGTCCTATTTTTCTTTGCGAGTTTACAACCTCTTAATCTTAGCTCCAGGTTTACAGAGGGCCGAGTTAAGTTACAGTGCACCTAATTCATCCAACAATCACCTTTTTTTTGTTTTGCAGTTTAAACAACCACTTTATTGTTGTGGATAGATGAATGGCTATTTCACATGTGACTATCCAGTTCTTGGAAGAGTACCCAGACCTCACAGACCCACACAGCTGTTCCTCCCCAGCAGTATTAAAAGAATCTAACAGTGTGGCAGTCACTGCCCATTTGCTCACTCAGAAATGAATGCTGCACATTATCCATGCTAGCTCAGAGTCAGAGGAATGAATGCAATTTGACCCTGTGATCTCACCTATAACAGCCTGTGTGCTTACTTGATAATGTTGTTTCCCTTTCCTTAAACGTTTATCCAAGTGATAGGCAGGAACCTGTCCTAGCTGATACAGGGTGAAAGGTGAGATACACCAAAGCAGGTCAGCGGTCTTTCACAAGGCTAACACAAAGAGACCACACACTGTCACGCTGCCGATTTAGAACCGCCAGTTAATCCAACATGTATATTTTAGACGGTGCGAGGAAGAAGCACAGCTGCACATGCAAACCTATGCAAAGAAAATTCACATTCTAAGCAATACTGCTTGCAAAGCCTTGTGAGCTACCTAACAGGCCCGCATTTTGTTTTTTTAACCACACTGTAGTTTTTACTCATTCTTTTTCTTACCAGACAATTATTCAGGTATTTAGTTTTTCTTTGACCACAGTTCTTGTTAATTAAAAAAGTGCCTATTCCCAGAATTCTCATCTTGTGTTTATCTTTGCATCTGAGTCACAAAGTTGAATACACAGCAATATTTCCAAAACCTACCAGGGCCTTTAAAAAGTGCCCTAGTTTCTGAAGGAATAACTAGAAATCTCAAAGATTCTTCTTTCAGATTTCCATCCATTGCTTGATAAAGATTACAAGATTGCATGTTAAATAAAAGTTTCAGTTTTACTGTCTTCCTCATGACAAAGTCAGAGGCTCCGGAGCAGACTTGACAGCTGATAACTGGTGCCAATGCATAATGCTTCCTTTTCTTATATATCTCCATTTTTATCATTTTGTAATTTCTTCCAGTGCCACTGGAGTCTGTGGCAGCCCACAGAACTGTATAAAAAGCCACATTGACTGGGGACTATGAGGACCTCAGTTCTTTTCACCAGGCTTTATATCTGTCTCTTGGACCAAATGTTAAACTTTTATATTTGTTGAATCAAGTCAAGTTCAAAGACTCCAAATATCAGTTTTAAATTGTACGTATCATCTGGCATATTAGGCTAGGAAGGGGAATTCTCATACCTAGCCTTATCATTTTATTAACGCATTCACTTTCTCAGGCAAGAAGTGAACTCATATCTCCGAAACTCTTTAACATATCTAAATATAGTTTTATAGGAGCCGCAAAAAATGACCACTAGAGGGCAGTGCACTGATCAAGAACCAGCTCCCAGTTGAAGGAGACAGACAACCTCTCTACTTTTAAGATTAAGCCTAAACCTTTCCTTTTAGATAGAGCATATTGTTAGGGCTGGATCGAGTGACCATGAATCCTCCTTTAGTTACACTAGGCATAGGCTCCTGGCACTTCCCATGATGCACTGAGTGTGTCTTCTTCACTCACCTCTTTACAATATAAAGTCATCACTGACGCGTCCAGTGCCGCCTCCTCTCCCCCTGCCTCCATGCACACACGATTCCTTCTCATATTTCCTTCTCTGAGCCACTAGTGTTAACATACATAATCCACCTTAATTTAATTAACTTTAATTGGCTCTAATGAACTTAAACAGAAAGGGAGATCAAAGACAAGGTTCACCCGTTCGCAGTGAGTGCAGATAGGAGGTGTTGTCATAACAACACGATACATATCTACCACTGGAGGAAATTACTAAATGATACCTCCTTGATGGGCACTTTGTGGTCGCAGGCTGACCCTCACTTTGATGATTTGTCAGGAAGCCAACGTTCCTAAAAATAACAAGCAAGTTATTATGTGGTGAGATGTAATTTTAATGTATTATCCACACTTTCATTCACAAACTCTGACCTTCACACCTCTATTGCTGGTATTAGGTCTAGCTTATAGGGTGGAGCTCTCCTCTAAGGAGTCTGCTGAACAACTGTGTGTTATTCTGTTTTCATAGAGGCTGATTTTAATAGCACCTTCCTAGAGTATGACACGCCACATTTTCATCCAAACTTTCTATTCACACGTTGTCCCACGCACAGATATTCTCTATGACCTTCCTAATTTATTTCTTTGCTTCCTTCTTTCTGCTGTCCCAATGCGTCCTCTCCCTTCCTGGGCGGTAGCTATCTGATGTGATGCAATCACAGTTTTATTGCCTCAAAGACACAGCCCAGGCTGCAAGCACAACAGCTCCACATCTTTCACTGCTTTTCTTGCGGACACAAATTCCCTCCATCCCTGCACACAGGTGTAAATGTAAGGGACAGAAAGATAGGTGCCACTGTGCTGTAGAGACACACAGCAGGGGTTTACACAGAGACCTTAGTCTGGACAAGCTTTTCCTTTTCACAGGTCAGTGGGGGAAAAAGGCAACAGTGTCCTTCCCTGCTCTAGGGTAAAGAGAACAAAGAGAGAGAACAATGAACAATGTCTAAGAAAATGATGGGTGGTTTTTTTTTTTCAGTCCTTATAAACTCCTCCAGTCTGTATTTCCTTACGACTGACATTCACACATCATCCGCCGACTGTAAGCTAACATACTACATACGCAGGGTGAACACAGCGCTGCGTTGTGTGATCACCGTGCCTGTGGAAAGAATTGGGCTTTTCATGTGTCCTGAAGAACAAGTAGGGCTGTGTCTGGATGTGTCCCAAAATATGGCTAATGGAGATGTGGCTGTGATTTTGCATCTTTTCTTTTTTTTTGTAATGTGAGCCTCATAAAAAAATGTGTGTCATCTGCCAACATCAAGGTGCACTGCTGGTTTAACTACAGAAAAGAAAGGAGTAGGACTATTTCTCCATTACATGACCACTTGACACTGCTGCATGAAAGGATGGAGGAGCTACGATAGCTCCATCTAACGAACAAAAGGGAGGGGGCATAGTCATTTCACGTTAAAAAAAAAAAGCTAGACATATGCATTTATTGTGTTCCATTGTCTTTTTTGGACTCTAATCTCTCTCCAGAGGAAGTAGAGGTAGAAATCGAACTGTGTGGAAAGCGGCTATGCTCACCGCTACACCACCAACTCGATCTTGATCTTAAATTCAACATGAGAGATGTTCATCTCAAACCGTCACGACTGAAGCTGCTGCTAATCCTCCAGCTGTCCATCAGTGACAGCTCAGTCTTGAACGTCTGGGATCATTAATGTGTGCTCGTGTGATACACAGAAACACATGAATCATCACGTAGTCTTCCAGCCCCAGATGACGTTTTTTTTTTCAGGTTCTGTGTGACAGAGAACTTTGAAATATTGCGTATTTCAAACAGTTTAGCTTGAAAATTGTTTATTACTACTATTATATCATGGTGGACGGTGTTTAAACAGCAGAAACAACTTTAAATGTGTTCCAGAAAAACAAAAAAGATTTAGTATTTATTCTTCGTTTTTTCTTCTTCTCTCCAGGAAACAGGAGCTGCTGAACATCTCCAACGTCCCTTTGGGAGAATGTCCCCCATCACCACCCCGCACTGCACCGCCCAGCATGAAGGTATGAGCAGCTAGACACACCTACGCATGTTTGCTAATGGTGGGATATGATATTTGTCTACATGTGTTAAATCAGCTGACTGCGATTGTTCTCAGTGTGAAATCCCTTTAACAAGCATGCAATTCAGAGACAGTGAAAAACACCACTGTCACAAAAGTTCAAGAGAACATATTTGTGGACGTAAATAAAGCACGGTGTTAGTTCGGGCAGGCCAAAGCCAAGCGAAGCTACAATCCCGGCGAATCAGCTGATCTCAGTGCCAGTCCCCATCAGCTCATGGCTCAGCTGATTCTGGCTCTCTCTTGCAAATTATTGCAGATGAAAATAGCAGTTTTCCTACCATTGTCCTGACTAAATGTCAGGCGAATACAGGCTATTATGCTTTCACAACATCTGCTATCTATGCCACAAATTAAAACCTATAATTTTTTAAAGATTCAAATCAGGTTCATTATTTATATCTATTATTATATATTATATCTATTATTGCTCTCAGAGAACACAAACATGCTGATGTCATTGTGTGAACTCAGTCGCATGCCCATTTTGCTGTGACGGTTCCTCCAGGCGTGGAGTACTGTAATCCTTCTTTTTCCAATGTCTGCTTGCCATTAAAAAAAAGGGATTACGTCTGGAGGCAAGCGGAATAAGAGCCTGAGATACAATGAATGCTCATCTGTGCCGCTAAATCTTGGCTTTATATTTTGTCTCGAAATTTTACAGGAAAGTGAAGGATGCGTTCTACAAGACATCCAGTAAAAGGAAATGTCTATTCATTTGAGTGTGCACTTTACCTTGGCTCCTGTTACTTTGACTGGCACTTGGAAATTTCCGTATATGACAGCACGAAGCGGTTTTCGAGGACCTGATCTCACTTTTCTTCCATGCTTGTCATTGTTTTGAGCTTCCTTTTGCAGATAAAACGTTTTGTTGTTAAAAATGAATTGTGATGTAAATTGAATCATGGTCTACTACAGTGGGACCCCATTGGGACCACAGTGGGAACCAAAGTGAAAAACAAAAATATGAGAACGTAGCTAAACTACAGATCTTGTAGATGATCATCTTCCTCAGGTGCTGTTACACTGACTCATGTGGTGTGAGGTATGATGTTGTCAGACACTCTCTCTGCACTACTCTCACACTAAAGCTGAAGATCTTTCTTTCTTTTTCCTTCAGCATGACAAAAAGAAAGAATACATTCTGTATGGAGGGAGATTAGCATGGTGAGGAAGTAGCTGATGGCTCCTGGTCAGGATAGCAACCTCAAAGCAAGCCATCATTACTGAGTCCTCTGAATGGGAGTTTGTCCACGGTGAGAGAGGAACGATTGAACTGAATTATGCTCTCAGAGGAATCATATGTGAGAGAAATTATGGAAGAAATATAACTCAAGACAGAAGGCATCAATTACCTTCTTGATGTGTGGCTGATTTCTTGTAATTATCAAACAGCAGCCTCCAATTTTGCTGTGAGCTAGAGTGGCCTAATGGCGAGATACTCATCATCAGTCACACTGGCAGTGAACGTATGAAACATATAATTTCTTATAATTGCAGTTTACGGCAAATCCGTGCCTTTTGTGTAGAAACATTTGTCTCCTTTCTCAGATCGCAAAGCACATGTTGATAAAATCCGTTTTGTCAGCACCGTGTCGGCGCTAATCCTGCTTTTATCCATTTTTGTTTTTTAATTGTTAGATAGGTGCTCTCGTAAGAAGCTCTTTACGTGGTTAGGAAAAGCGTTTAAGGTTATAGGCGTCAGAGGACAGCTCACGAGCAAACGTGTTAAGGCAGCAGCGGCGGGAAAACTGTGTTTGCTCAAGTGATGCGTTTAAGTGCAAATCGGAGGTACTTCTGGTTTGTTGAGTATTTCCATTTCTGCTGCTTTACAGTCAAAAGCCACTCACAAGCTTATATAACGTGTGTGATGTGAGTATTTTGAAATTCAGATCCAAAATGCTGAATGTTATAAACAAATAACCCCTTCTTGATCATCTGTAAATATAATATTATTCTGACATACATGCACACCAGCCACTTCATTAGGTAAACCTTGCCATTCTTTTTGACTTCTGAACTCCCTTAAACCGTGGAGGCACAGATTCAACGGTGTGCTGCACATCCGTGAAGTGAATCTCCCATTAAACCACATCCCAAAGCTGCTCTGGTGGATTGAGATTCGGTGACTGTCTAGGTCGTTTGAGAACAGTGAACTCCTTGTTTTAGTTTTGTGACATGTTCTCTTATCCTGCTTGGAGCAGCCATCAAAACATGGGCACACTGTGGTCAGCAACAATGCTCAGACAGGCTGTTGTGTTCAAACCATGCTGGAGCTAAGGAGACCAGAGTATGCCAAGGAACAAGTGGTTATCTGAGTTTTTCTTGCTTTCCTATCAGCTGAAAGCAGTCGGACCCATTCTGCTCTGAACTCTGACGTTAACGAGGCATTTTCATCCAGAGAACCACCGCTCACTTGGCATTTTCTCTTTTTTCATACCATTCTCTGTAAACCCCAGAGATGGTTGTGTGGGAAAATCCCAGCAGATCAGCATTTTCTGAAATACCCAGATCAGCCTGTCTGGCACCAACAACCATTACCTTTCTTTCTCCGTCTGATGCTCAGTTTGAACTTAAGCAGGCCATTTTGACCACAAATACATGCCTAAGTGCAAGTGGTTGCTGCCATCTCGTTGGCCGATTACATATTTGCTATAACAAGACAAAACGTTCTCACTCCCAAAGCGTAACATATTACCCTATGTGACAAATAGCCGGGAAGTTACGCTTTCAGCCACCCAACACATTCCTATGTTACGCATTCGGAAACAGGAGGAATCATGAGAACCATTTGGACTGAATCTACACATGTACATTTATTTACTTTCTCCTCATGAATTGCTTTGCAAAACACTATCTAACACGATTAAGGTTGTGGTAAAGGTTAGGGTTAGGGTTAGGACTGGAATACACTGCTGGAGTGTGTGTTACCGCCGGGAGCGTCATTCTATTGGATTCCATCCACAATCAGGCGCATATCATAGGGACACGGCAGGTTACCTTTCGCCCCTGGGACGCCTCGGGATGTGACAAATCGTCGGCATGTTACGCGTCGGGAATGAGAATGCGCTGAACAAGAAGTTGAACAGGTATACCTAACAAAGTGGCCCATGATCAATTTATAAGTTAGCATACTAAGTAGTTATGTATTTGGTGGTTTAACTCTAATTTATCCACACCATTGTACAGCAGTAGACTGGCTTAGGGAGTGTATGCTAAAACAGAGACTGTATAGTTTGTGCCTGGAATTTCTTCCTTACAGGTGATCTAATGTTTGTATTTGTACAATACTTTATTCAGGTACTTCCTTTTTGACATTAATAATGTGTATGGATGCTGATAGTCAACAGTCTTCAAAGAGAGCAACACCAAACTTGGCAATACCTTGGATGACTTACAGTGTGTGTGTGTGTGTGTATGTACTTGTTTAGGCATCTTTGAGAGGACAGAAAATTGGCATGTCACTATACTTGTGAGGACCAACAGTCTTATAAGGACAAAATGCCTGTCCATACAAGTTTTAAGGCATTTTTGAGGCTCA